AAAAAGTACAGGACCCAAATGTCCGACTGTTGTTGTTTTTGTTTGTCGTGTGTTTGTTGTGTTACAAATGGGCTACAACTGAATTTGTTTGTGCATCCCTGTGCTGCATAATGACAATAACTGATCCTTAAAACCCTTAAATTCTGGAGGAAATGCAAAGTTTAGGGATGAGAGCTAAAGAATATACTTTATGGGGAAAGTTTAGCAGCTGGGACAACAAAGGAACTGACTGGACCAGGAGGTGGCAGTCATGCAACGAATAGAAGGCAAGCTGCCGTTAAACACCACAGAAGAAGAAGAAGAAGAATTACGTTGACGTCATGGCGTAAGACGTATGAAAGTGCGTAGGGACGTTCCTGTCCGTCAGTTTTCCCTCGTTGACGAAGCTATCGCGGCTATGCCGATGTTTAGCTAAAGAAGCTTTTATTGTTCAGTATTCTGCTTTATCTTCGTGGGAGGAAGGTCTATAAATAACCGAACATCCACAGCAACGTTGTTACAGGTAGATGTTTGTGGAACTAACGTTTGTTCTTCTGCTTGTCTTCCTTTTGTTTTGCTAACGTTTTACGTAGCTACGCTAAGTAGTTAGCCACGGAGCTAGCTAGCTAACGTTAGCTTGACGCACGTAACTTCTAACTAGCAAACTGTCCGCAACGTGGTGAACGTCCAGTAGTAGAATGTTTATATTGAGTGAAACATATAATCATTAATGTGGAAGAGTTGATAGATTTGTGTGTTCATTAATATAACGTTAGTTAACATGTTGTTAGCTGACTCGTTAGCTATGCTAAGTCAGTGTTCGCTTATCATGCTTATGGTTCCTAGCTTCAGTTTGAAACAATGTTGTGCCAAAAGTTTACATCAGTGGTGGAATGTAACTAAGTACTTCTACTTAGGTAGGTTACTCCATTTAAGGAACAACTACTGCTAGTTAATAGTTCTCCTCCACTACATCTTAGAGGTAGATGTTGTACTTTTTACTACATCTCATCGAGTGTTTCCTTTGTGTTGATGAAATCCTCTTCTTCAGCTAAATAAACTCTTTAAAAAGCCTCTCGGATCAGCTGTAAAATGCACAAAGCTGAACACTTTCTCTTTAGAGATGCGAGGTTCTCACAGGACAGAGACGCTACAAACATGATGATCTTATAGAATATGATGCATTAATGTAGATTAAAGTACACGTGACACAAAGGAGTTAACATGCAACAAACGCATTAATGCAGCACACTGAAATCTGTCTTAGCTTTACCAAAGACGCCATTTGTTTCTTCAAGAGATTCTTTCTTTTAATCAAGGAACTGTTTGGATTAGAAGGTTAAATGTCTGAAGAAACGCCAAAACTTACATTTAATCTTTCAGATTTAACATAAGTGTTTATAATCTGATTTGATGGTACATCCAAAGAAGACCGTTTTTCTAAACTTGAATTGTTTTACTGCTGGATATAAACGTAGCTTTATGAATGCAGCTGTTCAAAGTGTTTGTCTCCACACAGAAGACCTATGCGGTCCTGCTAGCAGGGCAAGATGTTCAACAAGTCATTCGGTACTCCCTTCGGTGGAGGGACGGGGGGGTTCGGCACCTCGTCGACCTTTGGACAACAAAGTGAGTTGTTTTTATTTATTCTCTGGGATTCAAACCCACAGCAGCACCAGGCGAGCCCAGATATCGTTCTCTAAATGACTTCTCTCATTAATCACATGACATCTATCACACTTCATCCTCATAGAGGGATCACCCCTCTGTTGCTCTCTCAGGTTTCTTCCTCTTCTTTCTTCCCGTTAAAGAGTTTTTTGGGGAGTTTTTCCTGTTCTGATGTGAGGGTCAGAGGATGTCGTGTGTGTACAGATAGTAAAGCCCTCTGAGGAGAACTGGTGATTTTGGGCTACACAAAATAAATAGAATTGGATTTCTTCCTCCACGAAACTCTTTAAAAACACATCTTACCAGAATTTAGTTAGTTAATGCTGATTGTAAAGGTTCTCCATGGAGTGGATAGACTAAACCTGTTGGTTAATATCTGATCTGGTCTGTTTCGGTATTCCTGGTGACTGAAGATTTAAATCCTCCGTCTGTGTCGTCTACAGACGCAGGTTTTGGGGCGACGGGAGGCTTCGGGACGTCAGCGTTCGGGGCCACGGCCAACACCGGGGGACTGTTTGGTCCCACGCAGAATAAACCTGGTTTGTCTGCTCTTGTTTGAAGAAAAGAAAAAAAAGCAAACTGATGTTTGTGGTGTTCAGTTACTCAGTGAGCACTTCCTGTCTGGGGACGTAGTGTTTTACCTGCTGAAAAAGACATCTGCATCAACCATTTACATTTCTTACTCTTTATTAAAGAAACAAGTAGTTGCTTAAAACACAGGACGACTGTATCCAACACTAATCGGTCCTGGTCTCTTTCCTGTAGGCGGTCTGTTTGGGTCCAGTACGTTCAGCCAGCCGGCGGCTTCCGCCCCCAACACCGGCTTTGGTTTCGGTGCGGCGACCGGCACCTCTACCAGCTTGTTTGGCAACACCGGAACGGGCGCCAGCGGCGGACTCTTCTCCCAGCCGAGCAATGCTTTCGGGGCCAACAAACCCACCTCGTTTGGAAGTGAGAACCCTCCACATGCCACCGCTTAGGGTCTCTTTCAGGTCGTCCAGTAGGGACCTCACACGGCTGCTGTTCGTCATGAGATGAGAACTAAAGATGTGATATAAGATGCTCATGTGTTTCTATAGAAAACAAGTTCCTTCTAACCAAACGTCCAATGCTCTCGTTGTTTTGCACACTGCTCAGTCCCGTTGTCGTTTTTGATTTGTTTATCTTATGAAACGTCTGAACGTTTGAAGAAGTCTCCCTCCCATCGTGTCCTCCAGGCTTTGGGACCAGCACCAGCAGTGGCGGGCTGTTTGGGTCGACCAACACCACCTCCAACCCGTTCGGTGGAGGTAGTGTCGCCTCCCTGTTCGGAGGCTCGGGGTTCACCGCTGCCCAGCAACAGCAGCAGCAGCAGCAGCAGCAGCAGCAGCAGCAGCAGCCGGGGACCACCGTCAAGTTCAACGTGAGTTTATATGAAGGTTATTCGAACAGGGTCAGGATGCACCCTGAACATGTTGGTCACCACTGTGCTGTCCAGGGCTGATTGAGGGGAGTTTAAATGATTTTTAATATAAAAAGATTTTCGCTCGTTTCTTTTCCTTGCAAATTCAAGACATAAGATCTTTAAGAGTCTTTCTCTCAGAATATTACCCCCTTATTTCATATATATTTATATTTTAAACCTACAATGGCCCTGATGTGCTGGGGTACTATTCCCCCACAATGCAACTCTCAAAATAAATGGAGGAAACATTGAAGCCTAATTGAGAATACAAAGTTTGATTGAACGCGTCTTTGAATCTAAAGTTTCAGTTTGAACACTAAACTTGTGTCGTTTCCTGTTAATATGTCGATCTCACTAGAAGAATGTTCTGTAAAGATTAATATGACGTTTGTGTTGAACTTTAAATTAACAAAAAGGGGGAAAAGTGAAATGATGTTCAAAATGAGCGTTTTCACCTTGAAACCTGTAAATAATGAAAGTGAGACAAAAACGCGCGTTTGTACGTTTTACTCACCGTCGCACTTCTTTTGTTCCTTCAGCCTCCAACAGGAAGTGACACCATGGTGAAGGCTGGTGTGACCACCAGCATCAACACAAAGCACCAGTGCATCACGGCCATGAAGGAGTACGAGAACAAGTCCCTGGAGGTGTGTGTGTTTGAGGACGACGAGCGTGTTGTTGACCGGAAAAATTATATAGAGACTGCAAAGAAAACGGAGCTCAGCTGTGATTTCAGCCGCAGTCTGAATCTCCACCACCGTCGTGGTGCATTCAGGTACACCTGGTAAACTGAGAATATCCAGCTGTTGGTGTAAACTTCCCTCCTGCCATTATTCTCTCCCTGCAGGAGTTGAGGCTGGAGGACTACCAGGCGGGCAGGAAGGGCCCGACCAACCCGATGGCGGCGCCGACCGGCGGGCTGTTTGGCGCCGCCACGGCGACGCCCAGCGCCGCCACCGGGTTGTTCGGCGCCACGGCCCCCAACACCAACTTCTCCTTCGGGCAGAACAAGACCACCTTCGGAGCTGCACGTGAGTAGGAATCATTTAAATTATCAAATCAGAAAACGTTAAAAGCGTCGCTGAATCATCGGCCCCATCTTTGTTTCTCTTCCAGCGGCAGCGGCCGGAGGTTTCGGCGCGGCAGCCGGTGGTCTGTTCGGTCAGGCGGCCCCCCCACAGGCCAGCAGCCTCTTCAAGCCCTTCGGTCAGACCACCACCACACCGAGCACCGGGTTCTCCTTCGGAAACACCAACACCATGGGACAGGCCAACACCAGCAGCATGGTGAGGACCAACGGTCTCCAGTATATAGATATACGTCTCTCTGCCTGTCTGTCTCTCTCTGTCTCTCTGCCTGTCTCTCTGTCTCTCTGCCTGTCTCTCTGCCTGTCTCTCTGTCTCTCTGCCTGTCTCTCTGTCTCTCTGCCTGTCTCTCTGTCTGTCTCTCTGTCTGTCTGTCTCTCTCTCTCTGTCTGCCTGTCTCTCTGTCTCTCTGCCTGTCTCTCTCTCTGTCTGTCTGTCATCTTTAATTCAGTGTCAAACGCTCACGAACGTCCTGTTTATGTCACTGAGAAGTTTGAACTAGTGTTGAATAAAACGACACTTCTGAGTAAAGAGTGTAAAAAGCTTAATGATATAAAGTCAAAGTTAGAACCTCGTTGTGAAACCGTGAGATTTAAAGGAATATGAAGGGAAATGTATTTAAACTGGGTCGGTCCCGTAGACCTCCATTCATTAGTGTGATTTTACTGTTAAAACAGGTTGCATGCAGAGAAATAAATATAAAAACAAACCTTAGTGTGACACCACAGAAGAAGAAAAAGAAGAGTGATTTCTTTTAAATCTGCCATTTTTAAAGCAGAATGCCGTCTCGCACCTTGAGGACTTTTATTGTGGCGGTGTCTCACCGGTGCTTCCTGTGATTCAGGGTTTGTTCGGGAATGCCGCAGCGCCTCAGGCGGGCGGCTTGTTTGGCGCCGCTCAGCCCGCCGCCGCCGGCGGCTTCGGGGCGGGAACCGGACTGTTTGGTCAACCGAATGCTGGATTTGGGAACGTGGGCACGCAGGTACACGACGAGTCTAACGGAGACACACGAGACGAGAATAAAGCCCATAAATAATGATGTCGTCATGTGTTCACATGTCATCTGTAAAATGTAGTTTTGTTATAAACTTGAATAAATCCAGTAGTTTGAAGATGTTTTCACGTGAATATAAAATAGATATTAGAGATGAACACTAGCTCTAAGCACATCATTATACATCAGTAAAATGACTAATAACCCCAAAACATGTTTAATCAAATAAATAATATAAATAAAAATACAGTCATTTATTTCCTTATCATTGGAATTGTGTGTTTTATGCAAATATTCTGCACTATATAAGAGTGTTGGAACAAAGGAACGGAGAGAATCAGAATCAGGTCATTTAGTTCGTTACTCATCAGAGGAATATGTCTTGTGGATTTGTTGCGTAACAATAAACACAATGCAATAGATATCATTTAAAAATAGAAAATATCAAAATGTACGTTACGGTAAACACACAACAGTTAAAGTGACATGTTTACTAATATAAGTTGATTAGTTACAGAAAATACAACAATCCACTTCCTGTTTACACCGTTGCCCACAAGCCCCGTGATCAGTAACGTAATGTACGGTTTGTGACGACGTCTTCGTGTCTTTTTTTTTTTTTTTTTTTTTTTTTGGTGTGTGTTTTCGTCTCTTGTAGCAGAGTTTGTTCGGTAACAAGGCGGCCGGGTTCGGCACCACCACCACCAGCGCCGCCCCGTCCTTCGGCACCGGCACCGGGCTGTTTGGCAACAAGCCCGCCCTCACACTGGGGACCGGAACCAACACCTCCACCTTCGGTGAGTCTGTCTGGCGTTCAGGGGGGAAGACGGGAATCAGCGCTTCATTAACGCTTTGTTGTTTTATCGCTTGCTGCAGGTTTTGGTACGAACCCCGCGGCCGGGAGTCTGTTTGGGAACAAGGCGGCTACCGGAGGTCTGGGGACGGCACTGGGAACCAGCTTCGGAGCAGGTACTGGATCCACCACACCAGGATGGACCAGATGATGAAATAATAATATATATAATCAGATAGTGAACACACGGATACAACCAGGATGGGAAACATAAAGAAATGAAACGTGATATCTTGTTACCGGCCACTACTTTGATAACGGTAATAAAAAGCGTCTTTTGGTTGAAGCTTCACTTTCAACTTAAAATCTGACTCGTCTCATCGTGAAAGTCCACAAATGTAAAAAAAAAAGTCTTCTTTAAAATCCTGTGAAACAGAAGAGCTGGTGAATATTTAGTGTTTTTCATGGATAAATTAAATGAAACCATTAATTTATTGATAAAAAGGCCAGTTAGCAGGCTGAGGAGAGACAATCATCACACACACACTATTAATTGTGTTCGTGTGTGTGTGTTCAGCAGTGGGAACAGGGCAGGCGTCTCTGTTTGGGAACAACCAGGGCAAACTGGGAGCCACGCTGGGACAGATGGGAACCTTCGGAGCGTCCGCGTTCAACAGCGGAGCAAATACTCTGGGCTTTGGAGCTCCACAGCAACCTGTCGGTGAGCAGCACCGGTCTGTCTTTCTGTCTGTCTGTCTGTCGTCTGTCTGGAACCAAAGATCTTTTTACTCGGTTAAATCAGCAACAGGAGTCACAAACATCTCTTCAGCTGGAAGAGGTTTGTGTGAGTTTCCCTACAGTAGATGGAGTAATGTTCTGCTGTGGACATATTCTAGACTCCTAAAGAATCTGAGTCATATTTAGAACATCTTCACCTCTTATCTCCGCTCTCTTCAAACACACCAGACTTCACAGAAACATCATTCTGCCTCTCAGGAGTTGCTGGTTTTACTGCAGTTTGTTTGTGCTTCATCTCACCTCGTTGTTTCCTCCAGCGCTCACGGATCCGAGCGGGACGGCCTCCCAGCAGGCCATGCTCCAGCAGCAGCTCAGCGTGTTGGCGTACTCGCCGTACGGAGACTCGCCGCTGTTCAGAAACCCGCTGTCGGACCCAAAGAAGAAGGAGGAGGTGAGCACAGCTGCTGTAACGAGCTCCTCTTTGCTCCTAGATTACGGGCTGTGATCTGCTTTTATTTAATCAAAGTGGACATCATTAATTCACAAACAAAAAACTTTTTTTTGAGTATCCAATCACAACCGCTTGTGTTCTGACAGCGTCTGAAACCAACTAATCCGACGGCCCAGAAGGCTCTGACCACGCCCACCCACTACAAGCTGACCCCTCGCCCGGCGACCAGGGTCCGCCCCAAAGCGCTGACGTCATCGGGGGCGTCCAAGTCGCAGCTGTTCGACGGCCTGGACGACGACGAGCCGTCGCTCACCAACGGAGCCTTCGTACCCAGGTACCTGCCGCATCAGCGTTATTCATCTCTAGTCTTTTTATTTATTTTACATTTTTAACGAAACAGAAACACAAGACCTCAAAAAACTGGCTTTTGATCAAAATAATAAATATAATAAATATATATGTCTATATATATATGTCTATATATATATATGTCTATATATATATATGTCTATATATATATATGTCTATATATATATATGTCTATATATATATATGTCTATATATATATATGTCTATATATATATATGTCTATATATATATATGTCTATATATATATAT